TTGGCAAGGTGGCTGCCCAAAAGTGTACTGTACTCCAGTGGGTGCCATCCCACTGTGGTATACCAGGAAACGAAACCGCAGATAAACTTGCTAAAAAAGGGGCAGAATGTGACCAGGAAGAGAATGCAGTAACATACTATGAGAAGAAAAGGGCCATCCAGGCTATTAGAAGTGAACAGAGTCTGGCCAAAGATGACTACCACTTACTTGACCGGCATGGGCAGGTCATTGTCCTACGTCTCAGGACAGGACATAACAAACTTAACCAGCATATGCACAGGCTTCGTCTAAGTAGTTCACCTTTTTGCCCTTGTGGGCTATGTGTGCAGACTACAGAACATGTCCTGCAAGACTGTCCCTTGTTCAGCCCATTAAGAAAGGAATACTGGCCCAGTGAGTCATCACTGTACACAAAGTTGTATGGGACTAAAAATGAACTCATAAAAACAGTCAAGTTTATCACAAGAACCTGTCTGTCGGTGTAAATCAGAAAGCGAACACAAGAAGAAGAAGAAGAAGCAACAAGTAAGAAGATACTAGTATTTAATACTTAGTGAGGACAATTAACAAGAGTAATGAAGATGTCTTGAAAGAAACTGATTGCCCACATCAAAAGGAGACGATCTATATTCTTTGGTGACGTCATGAAATGGAGAAAAATTGAAGTACGTCATTCTAGTGAGAAACTTGGAGAGGAAAAGAGATAGAGGTGAGGATCGACAGAGAACGTGCTGGACAATTTGACATCATGGCATCTGTGTCAGAATTTATTGAAACTTTACGTGACAGAAGATTGTGGATAGACAAGTCTACCAACGCGGCATGGCATGGACTAAAAGAATAAGTGGAATGACATCAAACAAGACGAAATCAGTAAATGACACTTTAATAAGGACGGCAAAAGAGAAGAAGCCAGCAAATAATAAACTAATAAAGACAACAAGTAAGAGATTATGGACATTTGTGAAAGCAGTCACGATAAACCGGTTTAGTCCAGAATTATGCAGACAAAAGCACATGGCCTTTACCTTGCGTTTGCCCTGAAGAAACATACTGTTTTTGAATGTAGTCGATTTGTGTTTCAGTTCGAAGGATTAATTTATTTGCTTTATTTAAATCGATTGTTACTGTAGTAGTTACTGTAGTATGCACCTGACGAAATAAAGCGAGATATGCCAGGCAATAAATTGTGCAGTCTATTGTTTGTGTCTTCTTTGTTCAAATTCATAGAGGGAAACATTGCTTGAAATAATACTTTATAAAGGGCAGCTATCAATAAGAAACCAGCAAAAACACGTAATGAGAACAGAAAGTTATAAACACAAAAAAATGCTAGTAAATATGAAATTAGTAAAGACAGCATACAAAATGTGTTAATGGCATACAAGGTATTTGTGTTACTTCTTCTGATCTGTATCTATTTTCCACAGCTGGGGTGTTGAATATAAGGAACGTCTGTGTACTTTTGCAAATGCTCTGTGTAAATTCCACATTGTTCCATATGAATGCATTGTGTTCCACGTGCTCTGTGTCCATTATATGTGTATATATTTCTTTAACGCGGCTTTCTGCCATATTGTTTTTACTGTAGTTCACAATAATCAGCTTAACATAACATAAAGAAATAACTAGATTACATAAATCGGGAAAAAATCGCTAGCTATTCTTAGCCTGGGTGAAATTATTGATAAGCCACCGGTAGCAATTCGTGCAGACTGAAATACTGACTTGACACCGGAGAACACATGTGATTTAGATTACTTCCTTAAATGTGTAATAAAAGCAGTGGTGTTATTTTGGGACAAGTACAGAAATTGAAGTATCTGGGCACATGGATAATATCAGATGGAAGATGCATCACCAAGATAAGAAACATAATAGGACAGGCAAAAACTGCATTTTATAAAATGAAGAACATCTTATGCAAAATATCTCTGTCATTGAAGGTTAGAAAAATAATTCCTACTTGTTATATACATCCGGTTTTGACATATGGCGGTTAGTTCTGGACAATCGGTAGCCAGGCCAAACAATTTCTTGAGGCCTCAGAGATGTGGTTTTACAGAAGAATGCTTAAAATACCTTGGACAGCCAAAAAGAGCAACCAAGAGGTTTTGAAAGAGGCTGGAGCCCGAAGACAACTTATTACAGACATCAGAAGGAGACAGTCATTTTTTCGGCCATGTTATGAGGGAAAATGGAACATGTTGTGACCACTGGAAAGATCTGTGAAAGGAGGGATAGAGAAAGACAGAGAGAAGATTCTTGCCAGTCTTGTTGCATGGAGGTGTGCCAGCAAACGAACTGATACATGCTGTAGGAGGTCGCAGATTGTAGAGAGGCATGATCGCCCACGCCAGTCGGAAAGGCTCTTAATGATGATGATGATCTTATCGTGCGAAATTGATGACATTATTACACATCATTACACGTCTTAGACGCTCTGCTCTCAGCATGGCTGCAATTATTTCTTCTACATTTCCTTCCCGATTCCCCATCTTCGTGCAATACGGTCCATGACATACGTGTGAAGGCCAACTGAATTCAAAACAGCAACCCGAGAAAACGCGGTGATAAATAGACGGCAGATAACATACATATACACCGGATTGTGTCGACTCTGTGGCTAAGTCGATGTAAACGCTTCGTAATGCCGGGATGCCGGGTTCGATCCCAGCTGCGGGCCATGCGCCTTGTGTTGGTTTCGACAGTGGTATCAAGAAAGCCGACCGTCCAGGAAGCCATAGCAAACTACTGGACGTAAATTTGCCTAGAGAAACCACACAACAGCCAGGGACTGTTGGGGTTGGTTGTGCAACGTCCTAAGGATCTGCAACTAACCAAACACCGGATTGTGCCGGGACACCTTTTGTTTGCAAGTTTTTCAAATGGGACAATAAAAAAATTCCATTTCATTTTCACTGGTACAGGAACGGAGCGAGAATGGGGTGACCTGATTGCAATGAAGTTCAGACCTCGACTAAAACTAACAGTATACATATACACGTTTGGACCAAGTCTATATAAAAGAACAAAACAAGGTGAATACTTTTCACTTCAGAATCAAAAACCAGTCCCACAATAGTTTGATTTCCGGAAAACGAAAATTTAGAATTTTGGAGCGGAAAAGATAATATATATATATAACATGAAGATCAGCATCACCAAAACAGAAATTCTGAAAATAAGTAGAACACCTAATATACTAACTATTCAAGTTAACAACGAACAACTCAAACAAGTGCAACAATTTAAATATTTGGGGAGTATCTTCACAGATGATGGAAGAATTGATAGGGAACTTGAGGCAAGATGTCAAAAGGCGAACGCAGTAACTTACCAACTTTCCCCACTGCTAAAACACCCAAGCATCACTATGGCACTAAAACGACAACTGATAAATTGCATGTTTATACCAACCCTCTGCTACCAATGCCAAACCTGGTCCCTAACAAGAGCACAGGAGAAAAAGATCACGACGTGCGAAATGAGATGCTTACGTAAGGCTGCCAATGTCACAAGGAGAGACAGAGTTCGAAACGAGAACATTAGAGCAATTGTAGGAACCACACCATGCCTGCAATACATAAAGAAGCAACAAATAGAGTGGTTTGGCCACTTGATGCGAATGCAAACCGACCAACTGCCTCTACGAGCATACAACGAACAGCACTACTGCCCTAGAGCAAGAGGCAGACCGAGAGTACAATGGATAGACAATATATCAGAGATCCTGAGGCAACACGGACTAACAACAACACGTGCAACACACATGACCCAGGATAGAAAACTGCGACTCCCCCACTACGCTGTGATGCAATTGTGGACAAGACAAGACAAGACAAGACAAGACAAAGATATCAAACAAAACTATCTATAAACATTGAGCAGTCAACATTTTTTTTTGGGGGGGGGGGGGGGGGGGGGGGGGGGGGGGATACATTTTAAAGTAGTCTTTGTAATGAGGGTCAGAAAGGAATTGAGGTGTTTACTTGTTATCTCGTGGTAATGACCTCTTCTTCCACCTACGCCCCCGCCCCCTTTTCCCCGCGCAAGGTATAGACTTCATGCCACATCCTAATTACCCATGTTGTTGGGTTATTTCACTGTATTTCTGACATCAATGGAGCCGCCGTGGTGTAGCGGCTAGACGCCCGTCTGCGGATTTGTAGGTAGTGGGTTCCATTTTGAACTGTGCAAAAATGACTGTCTCAAAGCGTTATATGAGTACCTGGTAAAAGTTCTGGGAGGTCAAGATGGACGGCGTGATGCCGACCATATCACCCACCTAGTGCCGATTAGTCTACACATTATAAGTCTGGCCCTATATACCCAATAAGGCGTGTGAAAAGCTACTTCACAGGGTTTTCTTTTTTACTGTGTCTTCTGATCTTCATTTCTTTCCACATGATTACAAGAGTGCCTTTTTGTATCGATGAATGTGACATGTTATATCAATGGTCTCATGTGCTATCCAACAACTGATATTAATGTTTAATTTTTATGCATATATGTTTATTTAGGAAAATATGTGTGACTAATGAGCATGCACACACAAACACAGATGAGCAAAATGTATATACGCGTGTGTGTGTGTGCATGTGAGTGTGAGTGCATGTGTAAATTTTCCTAGATAAACTACAACATCCAAAACATGATAGGGTTGGTTCTGCAATGTCATGTAAAGGATACGAACTAACATTAACAAATGTAACCCGCTTGCTTGCGGGCCGAAATTCGTGGGTTCAGTTCCTGAAGGGGTGGGGCGTTTTTAAAAAAATGACATTTCCTTGGCTCCCAGGTCGACGAAGTCTTAAATGGGTACCAGGTCAAGTCATAGGAAGCAAAGGTGGCTGGCGTGATGTTGACCACATCACCGAGTACCGATTGATCTATGACACATAGGTCTAGCCCTATATGTCCGATACTCCTGCAGGCGTAAAAAGATGTTCATAGGTACTTTATAAACGTAACTCAACTGATGTAATAAAACTACTCACCCAATGATTATGCTGGTCCATCCAGTTTCTCAGTTTACTGTCAATATACGTCGTAACCAACTCTACTACATTATCGACCATAGCTGGCATGTTATGTTGGAAACAATACACTGCAAACCGGCCCGTGAAACCGAACAAAGCCACAATGCGTCCCCAGTTCACAACACCATCGGTGAACATTTCATCCATTATAGCAGAAAAAATGTCCGGTGCATTATCGTCAGTCAAGTTTATTTTCTCAATCATGTCCGTAAAATTTCGGCCATATCGTTCTTCAAAAGCGTCTCCAAGAAGACGCATGGCTTCTTGAACCTCATTGGGCTGGACGTTCAACTGCCGGCCGTCATTGTCCCAAGAAAATCCACAACTGTCTAGTCTGTATTTTATATAATCCACGACTATGGCACGGGTGCTTTCTTCAGCCATCGTTTCAGTTAGACTGCAGGTGTAGGCTATTTCATTCACGAAAACATACTCCGTGCTAACCATCACAAAACACAACACTGAATGAGTTTGTTAACAACCGGGCGAGTTCAACTAACTACGTGTTTTCCAGTCGGAGTCGGTCGTTGATTCTGAGTCCAGCGTACAGCAGAGTGGACTAAAGCGAATGAACTGAATGAAGCGATTTTGCCAGCGGTGTCGTGTGTGGGAGGTTTGCGACCTTTCGGCTGCGAGATATACACAATCTCTGCTTACTGAGGTTATTTTTGGCAACAAAAAATAAACCGAAGCCGCAAGGGAAGTAAAAAAATTAGTTAATATGGCATGCGTGTCGCAAGGGGAGCTTAGATAGGTTGACATACGACTGATTTCTTCTTTAGAAAACTAGTTCCGAAATTCAACAAACTGCAATATGTAAAAATAGACCAGTTGACAATGATACAAGATTGTTATTTTCTGGTGAACAATTAATTTCAGTTGCATGTGTGCTCTATTTTCTTTTCCGCCGTGTGTTTCTAGTTATAGTTTGTTAAATTAACCCCGGTAAGGGCTGGGATTTTTTTAAGTGGGCTTGGATGGACTTCTAGCAATAATAATATGGTATCCAGTTTCGTCCTTTTAAGGACGACATTTTTTGTTATTTGAAGCCCCACTCTGGCATTTTCCAGAGGCCGCAATATAGGCAGGTCTTAAATATGGCCAATTGTCTGAACGCGGTTTCTGGGACCTCTCCACGGTGATCCTCATCCACATGATGGCACTTTGTGTCATCGGGTGTTTATCACTTGTGGGGTAGAAAGTCAGTCAGTCAGTCACTTCTAGTAATTTCCCCTGGTCTCTGGGTGGTAAGATCGGACGCCCGTGTGCATTGTTTCGCACGTAAAAATTCCCTCGGCATGTGGAAATAAAAAAGAGTAGCATAACGGCGATTCCCGGACAAAATTTGAAGTTAAAAATCTACAAAGTATTTTACGATCCTCGCCGGTGCTACAGATTTCGTGCACTGTGTTGAGATTCTTCAGACTCAGGCTTGAGTCAGAAATAGAACGTAGTACTCATGGGTGACACCCGTGTGCCATGATGTTGATCCGTTGAATAAATATAAACATAAAATATATAAATATAAAATATATAAATATAAAATATATAAATATAAAATATATAAATATAAAATATATAAATATAAAATAAATGGACACTGGTTTCCGTTGGCACAGGAACGGTGTAGGTATGGATGACCCATATTCTTTATAGAAACAACTACCATGACCTGATTACAAAGTAGGACATGATGAGGTAAAAGCCGTAGGGGGTTGAGATTTCACCTATGAACATCTCTATAATTGGCACCTGGAACTTAAACTATATAGAAATTGAGAAAAACATGACAATTTGTTTTTAAATTTTGGTACTCCCGATTGCAGCTTCAAAGACTGACATCCAGTGACTCAAGAAATAGCTATTCAGATCGGTAATCCTGTAGGATTAAACCTCAAAAACCCAATTCAACCGTATATACTATTATATGTTGTTGTTTTTTTTTTTTTAAAGTCCAATCATTTAATGATAAACTCGGAGCTTAGAACAGTGCTGCATCTTTAATCTTCTGCATCCTCGTCGTCAGCTGCACCACTAGACTAGCCCTTCTTGGCATTCTTCCTCTTTACACGTCCAGGTCTGCCACCGCCATAAGGTGAGCGCAGAGAGAAGTCAATGTGTTTCTGGGAGTCCAGGCGAACAATGTAGCTTGGGATGTTCACCACTTGCTTACGCACCCTGATGTGTCTCTGTCTGATGAGAACTCGGGCGTGATGAATGCTCTTAGCCAGGCCCAGCTTGAACACCTGAGTCTGCAGACGTCTCTCAAGGAAATCTTCCAAACGCAGACCCAAGACAAAATCAAGCTTCATCTTTCCTTCATCAAGTACACCAATGCGTACCAGTCGACGGAGAAGGGCATTACCTTCAAACAATCTCTTCTGGTCCTTCTCGTCCAGTGTCAGCAACTCTCGGGCAGCCTTTCGGATTTTACCCAGGGCATATTTGACTCTCCAGACTTCACGTTTGTTACGTAGTCCATATTCACCGATTAGCTTCAATTCCTGGACCAAGCGCTCCTTCTCAAAGGGGCGACGAGGAGTAGTGTATGTTTTACTCTGAATGCGTGGAACACCCAGCATTGTGGCCAATTACTCCAGCGGGATCTGTTGGGGACATTTAAGGTTGCGGGAAAAAATCAGTGTCCAATGCGGGTGGATGAGAAAATGACAAATTTATGAGGCAGCTACCTGAAGCAGGGCTGGCATTGAGGAATTGTGGGAAACACGATGGAATAGAACGAAGGTAAACATTATAAAAAGAGGCAGGTCAGTGCAATCTGGCTATTGAGAAAAAAATCCTTCCAATAGCGAAGATGTGGCATGAACGCCGATCCAGAATGAGTGAATGAGTTCAACATCACCAGGACATCCACCAAGTGATTAACATCCGGTGCCACCACGTGGATGAGGATCACCCGGTGAGAGGTTCCAGAAACCCTGTTTAACCGTCGAGTTATATTAGGGCCACCGATAACAGCCCGGGTGGGGATTTAAAACATATAATTTATTACTGGTCCAGAATCTCTATTTATCTTCTTTTACCCCACCAGGACATCGCACGATCGATTAACACCTGATGACAGAAAGTGCTACCATGTGGATGAGGATCACCCGTAGAGAGGTCCCAGAAACTGCGTTCAGCCATTTGACCATATTTATGGCCGGGCTATATTGTGGTCCCTGGCAATAGCCGGAGTAGGGCTTCACATAATGAAAAATTGCATTCCACAAGGGAATGACAGAATATATATTTCTGGTCCAGAATGAAGAGATAGCACTCATAAAACGTAAAACAGTGTTTTAGGAAAAAAAATATTAGGAAAACAAAGAACCCTAACATTAGGGCATGAAAAAAAATAATAATTGACAGTGTCACCAGAAAAGAGTGGGGGAGGGGGGGGGGGTGGGGGGACAAACCTAATACTTCTTGAGGGACATTACTGAATACATGTTAATATTTGGACACTTTTTTCTGTGAATTACGCAAGCAAGGGACAAAATCGCGAAAACAGTAAAATTGTGCACACTACGTAAGTTATTAGCAGGTATTGTCCCCTTTGTCAAACTTCTCTGAGTGTCGTAAAAACGCACAATAGTTTACAGCCCCCCCCCCCCTCCCCCACCCAACCCCCTCTCCCGCCCCTCAATGTAAGAGATAAGGGCTCAGCTTACGGTCGGTAAGAGACTTCCTATTTGGCAATAAAGGGACATAGATAGTACAGCTATTTCAGGGCTAAATTGCCACATACATACAAGAAAGATTCATTAAGTTATTCACCGTCCTTGTTAGGATGAAATTTTTCGTTATTTGAAACCCCACCCTAGCTCTTGCCGGGAGCCGCAATACAGCCAGGCCATAAATATGGCCTAATGGCTGAACGCGGTTTCCGGGACCTCTCCACGGGTGATCCTCATCCGCATGGTGGCACCCTGTTTCATCGGGTGTTTATCGCCTGTGTGATGTCCTGGTGGGGTAGAAAGTCAGTCAGTCAGTCAGTACAAGAAATGGTCGGAGAGAATTAAAACCTTCTTTAGGCATCTATGATGCCTCTAAACCAGTGGCCCTCAACCTTCCTAATGCCGCGACCCTTTAATGGTTTCCTCATATTGTGGCGACCCCCCAAAAATTATTTTCCTTTATAACTTCAATGCATATTTTCCGATGGTCTAAGAAAGGGTCGTTTGACCTACACACACAAAAAAGGTCGCGACCGGCAGGTTGAGAACTGCTGCTCTAAACTATAGTCGGGATCTGGAGATAAACCCCCAGCTATCCGGCAACCAGGTTTCCAGTATAACTGGCAGACAGGAAACCCAAAGCTAGAGATAAACCCTAGCTCCCGGGAACCAGGTTTCCAGTACAACTGGCAGACAGGAAACCCAGAGCTAGAGATAAACCCCAGCTCCAGGGAACCAGGTTTCCAGCACAACTGGCAGACAGGAAACCCAGAGCTAGAGATAAACCCCAGCTCCCGGGAACCAGGTTTCCAGCACAACTGGCAGACAGGAAACCCAGAGCTGGAGATAAACCCCAGCTCCCGGGAACCAGGTTTCCAGCACAACTGGCAGACAGGAAACCCAGAGCTGGAGATAAACCCTAGCTATCCGGCAACCAGGTTTCCAGTATAACTGGCAGACAGGAAACCCAGAGCTGGAGATAAACCCCAGCTATCCGGCAACCAGGTTTCCAGTATAACTGGCAGACAGGAAACCCAGAGCTGGAAATAAACCCGCAGCTATCATGCAATCAGGTTTCCAGTATAACTGGCAGACAGGAAACCCAGAGCTGGAGATGAACCCTAAGCTATCCGACAACCAGGTTTCCAGTACAACTGGCAGACAAGAAACCCAGACGTGACTTTACACTGGAAGTATGCATGAAACATTGTTGTGTATAAAATGCCATGCAAGACATGGAGTATTAACCGTGTTTGTACTTGAATTAAAACTAGTAATTATGTGTTTGGTGTATCTTGGTAAGCAGATTAAAGAGTGAAACCACCATATGTTGTCAAAAAGCGGCTTACGGAGTGACTAAAACGTTGAGCTTTGAAGCTGGAGACCCATAATGACGAACGTTTAATTTTTTCTCTTGGAGAAAAGAAGCTATCTGGCACAGTCGGTGGCTCCTGCGATAGCCACGCAGATCTAAACCCTCAGGCTTAAGCCCCTCTCACCGGTCCTATCATCAGCATCAGCATCAAAATCCACTTCTACCGTTACGCAGCGTGGGGAGAAACAATTTACAATCCAGTGTACCTTTGCTGTCACTGGCTATTGTCCTGCTGTGAAGACGTACAAGTATCTTTAAGGTTATCGATCCCTATTTTTCGTGGCCGTCCTCTGGTCTTGTAGCTGATCTCCTGGGGCATAGTGCCGGTGATGGTGTTTTATGTTGCTGCATTCTAATGAGATGGCCAAATCAAGATGGCAGTGACCAGATGG